TGGCTTGCCCAACTTATACTGCAGCTTGCAGGAACTGCCAAGCCCAAAACCTCTGAAAGCCTCAGACCTCCTATGCAATTGTAACAAACGCCCTACCCACCCCGAAACTTCAAAGTTCTTCCCCGCCAAGGTACCCGCAGACCATGGACCAAGACACAGCCTTGCAGGCCCGCGAAACCCCTAAACTGGCCCGAGCCCGGATTTGGCCTGCCCTTTTCATCACAATTCATAATCTCCATGTCAAGGGGCTTGTCAGAATGCATAAAGAGGCTTGCAAGAATGCTTAAAGAGGCTTATAAGAATGCTTAAAGCGGACTTTCGGGTTGAGGCTTTTCCCCTAAACCCCCCGAAAACCCCGAAGGCCCCCGAGACCCAAAGCGTGCAGCGCGAGGTCCTCATGGGCCACGCGCTGGTCCTCCCTCTTGCAGGCTTCCCATGGGAGGGGGTATGAGCAAGCCCAACACCGAAAACCCTAAACCCTAAACCCTAAACCCTAAACCCTAAACCCTAAACCCTAAACCCTAAACCCTAAACCCTAAACCCTAAACCCTAAGCCCTAAACCCTAAACCCTAAACCCTAAACCTCTCAGAGTTCTTTGTTTCAGGTCGGGGTGTGGAAGCCCTAATTTGTACCAACCTTGTAGCACCCTAAATAGGGCTCACATAGTTATGTAGGGGTTGTTTGGGCCTTGATTTGGGCAGGGGTAGTACTGTATTGGATCCCGTAGTAAGATCACCTTTCAAGATGAAGCCGTCCGAAGCTAAACCCTAAACCCTAAACCCTAAACCCTAAACCCTAAAGTTTGAAAGCACAGAACGGAAGTCTGGGCAGCGATGGCCTTGAGTTGCAGGCCCTGAGCCCGTGATCTTCAAAGCGCCTGCCTCGGAGAGTTTTAGGGCTTAGGGTTTAGGGTTTAGGGTTTAGGGTTTAGGGTTTAGGGTTTAGGGTTTAGGGTTGGGTTTGGGGGGTCTGTGTGGAGGTTGCTCCAAAACACAGACACACCCTCTCCCTCTCCCCTCTCCCTCTCCCCTCTCTCGTCTCCCCTCTCCCCTCTCCCCTCTCTCCCTCTCCCCTCTCCCCCTCTCCCTCTCTCCCTCTCCCTCTCCTCTCTCTCCCTCTCCCCCTCCCTCCCCTCTCCCCTCTCCCTCTCCCCCTCCCCCTCCCCCTCCCTCTCCCTCTCCCTCTCCCTCTCCCTCTCCCTCTGTGCTTTATGTTTGTTTGGCGGGGGTGGAAGGGGGGAAGGGGTGTGTGTTTTCAATATCTGTAAAAGGGGACCGCAGTGCTGCTGCCGCAGCTCCTTCAACATTCATCTGCCAGAAGCCAAAACCCGCAGCTCGGAGCTGGTTTAAACTTCGTGGAGCCCACATCCCAAACGCAAAGGAGCCCACTTGAAGCCATGATTCATACATGGGGGGGGTTTCCGAAAGTAGGGGTACCTTATTGGGGTCCTTAGTCTAAGGGGATCCGGATCCTACTATTGCGTCCCTACGTCGTGCACAATTTGTTGAAGGCACCCCCTGGGCTTTGAGAGTTGGACTTCTTAGGTTGGACAATCTTGGGGCGACACGTGGGCTGGCACAATGGCCCTGGGCCCAGCATGCGGTTAATGAAGCAGGGTTCCTCCACCCTATTGTAAAGAACTACACCGGAGTATTAAAGGCTGCTCAGGCACCGTGAGGCGGCTTCCAGTTTACTGGTGGAAGAGCTGGACACGACAGTAGAGTAGAGAGCATCAGCTGTGTCCCCACGACAACCGAGGCCGCGAACCCCAGCGCCAAAATCTACAGCTTCGAGCCCGTGCAGGATCTGAAGCTGTTGCAGGACTCCAGTGCCCGTGGGTGCAGCCGATGCCACCCGGGAAAGGGTGCAATGCCACGACACAGTGCCAGGACGGTTGGAGCTCCAGGTCTCTTGGCTTGATTGCTTTAATGGGAGGTCGGTTTGTCTAGAGGTCTGGGACGAGGGTTCTCCCAGATATTTTTGAACTTTGAATGGGGACTGTGGAGTAGCCAGGCCACGCACAAGCCTGAAGTTTGGCCTCGCCGGGCTGACGCGAAAGGCACACTTTCGGGCCTGCCCGGCATGGCGCATCAGCCCAATTTGGTGTCCGTTTGGTGCCTTAAACCCTGGCGCCTCTGTGGCCAGGTGTGGGGCACACAGTCAAGCGGCCTGGACAACTGGAATGGCACCCTGCAGGCGAAGTTCCTGCACGTCCGATGAAGCGACATGAAGTGCTGAACCCAGGACGTAGAGCTGCGTGATGCCGATCGTGCCTTTTCCGAGATCCAGAAGCACCAGGCGCTTTTCTCGGCTTTCTGCGCCATCTGCTCCCGAAAGATGGAAGTTGGCCACCAGGGTCGATCCCCAGACCTCCTCTACCTGAATTGTGCAGCCCTCAAACTTCTGTTTTTTTGCCGGTTCTGTGGAGTGCCGAGGATGATTCGCCTGGCTTTTGTTGATCCTGAGGTGAGGGATGTGAGTATGAGGTGCTGCAGCGCCTTGCAGACACAGGCCCAGATGCAAGGGTGGTGTGGCCGGCCCTTCTTCCGGAACTCTCTCGAAGTAAGCAGTAGCGAATCACGACTGGAGGGTGGCTGACAAAGATCCCACGGTTGGTTCAGCACCCAGCTTTGTCATGCTGCATGGGATGAGCCTGTGAGATCCTGTGAGGGTTATGACTCAGGCTGTGTTTTGGCATGCTGGCGGTGCCCCCTGGCGCGGCATCATGTGAAGTCTCTCCTGTCTTGATTCTCCTTGCAATAAACCCTAAACCCTAAACCCTAAACCCTAAACCCTACACCCTAAACCCTAAACCCTAAACCCTAAACCCTAAACCCTAAACCCTAAACCTGGCAGAGAGGGCATCCGCATGTATTGAGCGACAGGGACCGGCGCTGCGATCTGGACCGCAGGCTTCGGGTGTCTCACAGGCTCTTCGCCGCATCGTCAAATGGGGGTCATCGACGCCTTTCTTTGATCTGCGCAGGCTCGTGCGCGCTGTGCACAGCACGGAGTTGTAGGCTTAGAAGCCTGGGGAAACATGACAGTGGAGCCGGTGGAGTCGGTAGAGGAAGAGGGGAAAGGCCCATGTTCGCATCTCCAAGGCTTTGGTCGCTTCGCGAGCTTCCAGCGAGTGACCCTTTCGGTGCCTCTGTGCATTGAGGATCCTAAACCCTAAACCCCAAACCCTAAACCCTAAACCCCTAAACCCCTAAACCCCTAAACCCTAAACCCCAAACCCTAAGCCCTAAACGCTCGGGGCAGCACAGTCCGTGGTTAATGGTGGTGGCAGGTCATCCTGGTTGAGCAGAGATGGTCCTCTGAAGGCGACCCGCACCCGTCCTTGTGCTGCAAGCTGCTGCGAGATAGTGAGATATTGCAATGTTAGTCCATGGTTTTCCCTTCAGGCTGCTCAACTGGAGTGCGGACAAGACGGCGTCTGAGACCTTCACGGAGACAGGGACACTGAGCACTCCGAAGTCCTTCCAGCATCCTCTTCGGAGGTGCTCTGCTCCTCATTCTCCAAAATCAGGGGCGAGTCACTTCCCAGCAGTGGCGACCAGGAGTGTCACAGAGCCTCGCTGGATGCGGATTCCGGACCCTTCTCCCGGTTTCAGGGCCGATGACGTCCAAGTTGCAAGCGCATGCAAGCGCCCGTCTCGTTCGCTCGCTGTGGGGCTTCTGAAGTCCCGAGCGGGGCTCGGCTCCGTAGCGTCTCCTGCCAGACTCACCAGGCAGTCCAAAAAAGTTGCAGTTCACGGGGATGTGCTGAACCTTGTGGGAAGTATGAGCTGCAAAAGACATCAAGGAGATGTATCAACAAAAACTCGCAAGTGGCAATCGTCGTGGTGTTGGTTCTTTAAGTGTACTTGGAGAGCCAGGTCAAATCCTGGGGCTTGCCCTGGAAAGTCTTCCTTCGCAAGAAGAGTCGTCAGGACAGTCATCATGGGGAGGAGGGGGGGGGGGGGGGTTGGTACGGTGGCGCGTGGGGACTCACCGCCCAAAGCCCTGGATCCGATGTAGGGAGTACAGTAGGGTGCAGGACATGCCTAAACCCTAAACCCTAAACCCTAAACCCTAAATCCTAAACCCCTACTTGCTGCAAGGATCCAGAATTCACACGCTACGTGGGGAGCCAAGTGTGGCCTTGCTGTTATGCAGCGGGCTGCACCTGTTTGCCACACAGAGCAGCCTTTGGTGCGCGAGCAGCTGCTTTACCTGGCATCACAGTCTACGGCTCCTTCTGGAAGACGCTGAAAGAAGTTGAGGAATAAACCCTAAACCCTAAACCCTAAACCCTAAACCCTAAACCCTAAACCATCCTAAACCCTAAACCCTAAACCATCCTAAACCCTAAACCCTAAACCATCCTAAACCCTAAACCATCCTAAACCCTAAACCCTAAGCCCTAAGCCCTAAACCCTAGACCCTAAACCCTAAACCCGAAACCCTAAACCGGCGTGTGGCAGGGTGGCAGGGTGGCAGGGAATGGTGGCTGAATCTGCTTGGTTGACCTCCCATCAGGTCCACGAGTCTAAGAAGGAAGCATCGGGCGTGATGATGGCCAAGCAGCATGCCAAGCAAGGCCCCAAGACGAGCAGCCTGCAACTGGCTCTTCCAGAGGTGTGCTGTAATTGGGTTGAGAGGGTGCATCTTTGAAATGCCCCAAGCTCCAAAAGAATCCTGGCGGTACCTTGCCCTTAGGGGCGGCCGGTGGACTTGAAGCAGTGGGCTAAGCACAAGTAAAGGTTAAACCGGATCGACATCCGTGTGTCAAGCATTTTTGGGAGATCCGGCATGTGCTCAAACACCTCCGAGGTTAAAACAGGATGTGTTCAAACTTTCTCGACAGAAGCTTAAATTCTTAAACATCTTTGTCGGAGTCTGGGGGGGAGGCATTGACACGTGTTTAAAAAAGATGTCAATGTGTAAACATTGATGGCTTTGCAGGGGGCTTCGGGTTGTCGAGTTTGAGTTTGGTTAAAACCCGAAGCTCGAAAGCATGAGGGTCCTGGCAGGCCCTGATATAGCAACAGGGAAGCATCTTTTAGCTTTTCCGACCAGCTTCTCTGTGAGGCACTGGGAGGCCCTGGTAAAGGCAGAGGGCGTCAACCATGTTCAAAATCCCTGCATGTGGACATGTTCAAAACGTTCCGGAGGCCCTGTCGGAGGAGGCCCCGGTACAGGCAGAGGGGTCTAAGCATGCTTGTACGCCCTGCGTTTAGACATGCTCAATAGGGTTTAGGGTTTAGGGTTTTGGGGTTTAGGGTTCCGAGGAAGCCTCTGAAGTCCTCCAGCCTAGGCCCGTGAAAGGCCGGTCGCGCCTGAAAACCCCTCCAAGCCCCAAAAAACCGTCTGGAGAAAGTCAAGCCAGAGAGCCTCCTTAGGTTCTCGCCATACTACCTTCCCGCCCAGGCCGTTGCAGAATTGAGGGTTTACAGGTTCATAGGTCAAGGCTGCTGCAGTTCAGGGCTCTGGGGAGTTGGTGAGTTCAGGGTCGATGTTTTCGGTTGAGCCTTTTGGGGGTTTTAGTTTTCGTTGAAGGATCAGGGAGGGTTATTTAGGCTTGAGGCTGTACGGTTTCGGGAGGTTTCAATTCATGAGGGAGGTTTTAGGGTTTCAGGCTCAAGGAGGGTGTGTGTATTTGGGGTTGCTGAGCTGTATCCGAAAACCCTAGAAGCCCCTGGAAGCCGTAGTATCCGATCTTGCAGCATCAGGATTCGGAAAGTTGCGCAGGTCTAAGTGTCCAGGGAGCTGGAATTAGGGTTTGGCGTGGATTGCCCAAGATGTTTTGCAGAAGCACTCGCAACTGCCGCACATGGGCACCGCAGAATACTTCTGGGGCTTCAAGACCCTCCGAAATCTAGTGCCACTTGCCTTGTGTTGCCCTTATCGAGAGCCCCTGAAATTCCCGCGCCAGGGCTACATGCACCCAGCACGGCAAGAGTTTATGGAGGGTTCGGCCCGTAGCCCAGTGAACTGTCTGCCGGGGCTGAGGGTGGGTGTAGGTGTTAGCCATGATGTAGCGTTTTTCGGCCAGGGAGTAGCGGTGTTTAAGTGTCAGGCTTCAGAGCTACCCTCAATCTTAGCCGAGCCCTGAAGAACTCTCACAAGTCCTGTGACCAGCATCAAGCGTTCTAAGCCCTTTCAGCCCTGAAAAACGGCACTCTCAAATCCTTGAGACAAGCCCGAAAACAAACACGCATAAGTCCTATTTTTTCACCTTTCGAAAGGCGCAAAAATCTCTGGAGCCAGCCTGTTTCATACTGTAAAAACGCCCCCCGTTCTCACTGCCCGAAGCACGAAGCCTCCCCGAAAAACCCTCTACTCGTACTTCCGCGAAACCCCTGAACCCTAAAACCTACCCTGAGCCATACACGGTTTACCAAAAAAGGCGTCCCCTAAAATAGACCCCCAAATGGTAGGATCCCCTTGCAATAAGGACCCCGATAAGGTAAACCTTAAACCCTAGACCTTAAACCCTAAACCCTAAACCCTAAACCCTAAAACCTAAACCCTAAACCCTAAACCCCAAACCCTAAACCCTAAACCCTAAACCCAAGAACCCTCGAAAGAACCCTAAGGTGCAGCCCGAACTGAACCTGTGGTGGCGGGACAGCCCGGCGCTCACGGCCGCCTTCCGGCGGCGCCTTGGAGAGGCCTGGTTTAGGGTTTAGGGTTTGGGGTTTAGGGTTTATATAGGGTTTAGGGTATAGGGTTTAGGGTTTAGGGTTTAGGGTTTAGGGTTTAGGGTTTAGGGTTTGAGGACAATCCTTGAGGAAAAGCCCTGGGGTAACCGCCCTAGGAAACCTCTCAAGGAGAACTGGCACTCGAAAGGGAATGCGCCCAATAACCAGTTGTTTCCTTCTTTTCCCTCTTTCCTTCTAAGTGGTTTCAGGCTCAGCACTTACGAACCGCTACGCTTTGGGGACTTGGGGACATGCCAGATGTGGTCAAGCCGGACCTGTTATTGATCGTTGCAGTAAGGGCAGTTCTCTAAATTGGGGTCTTTTTTTGGGGTCCCCTACATCATGTGGCACCCTCATAATAAGGACCCAAAAAGGGACCCCTAACTTGGAGAACGACCCATATATGTGAGAAGAAGAGCCACCTGTTAGGCCAAGTCGTTCGAGGAGGCCCACGCAGATCACCGTGAGCCCAACAGTGGCTCGGCTGCACCTCGTGAGATGTGGTCAGGGTTTAGGGTTCAGGGTTCAGGGTTTAGGGTTTAGGGTTTAGGTTTAGGGTTTAGGGCTTACGGTTTAGGAACGGAAAAGAACGAAACCCCTAAACCTAAGCCCATGGCTCAGAGCTGTAAGAAAGACACGCAGCGCTGGGATTCAAGACTTGGAAGCAGTACACGCTCTCCTCTGGGATGTTTGGTTGCCGTGGGTTGGTATTATCACACGTGCACATACCGCAAGTACGCGCATGTGGTAGCGTATGTATGTGTGCACCTGTGTATGTAATGCATGTATGCATGCATGCCTGGATGTATGTCACGTGCTCGATATAGAGGTGTTATGAGTTGCATTCTTTTCTGAGACAGGACTCCTTCTCTTCTACACGTATAATTTATGGTAGTTGTCAAATGCCCCACTGGCCCACCATAATAAGCATGAGGCAGGTTCCCGCTTTAGTAAGGATACCCCACCGTTGCAACACACCCGCCCCCCCTCCCCCACACCTGTTCCCGCGCATATTCTGGATAAAACTTACGAAAGGAATCAGTGACGCGCTTTATGTCTAGATGCTTACACATATACCACTGCGTGCTTGTTTGATGTCAAAGGGTTTGCAGAAGCATATGCTTGCGAAACAAACCCGAACCGTGTGCAAGCCTCCACAGATTGATCTGAGGCTTCCGCTACGGTCAAACCTTCGGCGGAGGAGGAAAGAACAACGTGAGTGTGCCTTGACATAAATATTCAGGGGATTTCAGTGTTTGCACCTGTCGTAGCATAATCCGTGAGATCCATGCCCTGCCGCCCTGTGCAGCCTCGCAAGCGCGGCAAGACTCACCGATACCGGTTCCTGCGGCCATACTGAGTGGGCAGTTTCCTGCAGTGAGACTTTCCTATGTGCTTGTCAAAGCAAAAACAAATAAGTGAGCGCGAGCTACAGAGACCTGTGTGTAGCAGGCCCGGTCATGATCGGCCATGGCTGTGTAATGACTCTTGCTCCCGTGCCGACCTTTGGGCTCATGGCCACAAGGCTAAACGATATAGAAACGGTGCACGCCTGGTTCCTTGACTCTACGATCATGGCAGCGCCAGCCATGCCAACAATTACGCCTGAGCTTGCTGGACAGATGGTTGACAAGGCACCTCGTACTATAACAAACTATGACAAGCTTTTGGCCGTTAGCCGTGTAAGCAGTCATACTGCTTAGCCAAAAATGATTGTCCTACATGACCATGACCAGATCTTGACGACATGTTCGAAGGTGATTTTTCACCTCGGGCAAGATGCGTAGTTTAACATCCCGTCCTACCAGGCCATCGTTGCGCTGGAGGATGAGGAGACGAAGAAGAAGGTGGTCTCCATGGCCATGTGCACGTTTGGATGCGCGCCCTAAACCCTAAACCCAAAACCCTAAACCCTAAACCCTAAACCCTAAACTCTGCAGCGGCCCAAGTGTTGCACGACCAGAGCCAGGTCGGAAGCATCATTACGAAGGCCAAGGAGGCTCTTTGTGCTGATGCCGGTCTTGATGCACAACCTATGTCTCAAATTCTAAGAGCTGCAGAGCAGGTCTTGCAAGTACCACGAAGTAGTCACCGTAGTGGTATCGGTTTCAGGACTGCAAGGCACTTTGTCAGCGCCGCACGGGGCCATCGCACCGTCTTGTGTTAGGCGGAGCCGGAGGATGAAGTGAAGCGGCAGATGTTGATGATGCAGGACTCTTCTGAGGGAGTGAGCCAGAAGCCTGCCGGGGGTGAGTCCTTTTCCTGCGCTGCCTACATCCTAAACCCTAAATCCTAAACCCTGAACCCTAAACCCTAAACCCTGAACCCTAAACCCTGAACCCTAAACCCTGAACCCTAAACCCTCAACATCACCCAAGAACATGCCAGGAGATTCTGCCTTTGGCCAAGAGCGTCGTTGGTGACAGCTGGAAGGAGCACAGTGGAGTCTTCGTGCTCGCTCAGCCGACTTCCTGCTTCACCAGATCTTGCGACTCCGAAACCTAAACCCTAAACCCTAAACCTTAAACCCTAAACCCTAAACCCTAAACCCTAAACCCTAAACCCTAAACCCTAAACCCTTAACCCTAAAACCTTAAACCCTAAACCCTAAACCCTAAACCCTAAACCCCTAAACCCTAAACCCTAAACCCTAAACCCTAAACCCTAAACCCTAAACCCTAAACCCTAAACCCTAAACCCTAAACCCTAAACCCTAAACCCTAACCCTAAACCCTAAACCCACCCGAACCGTGCCGCTCTCTGAACAGGAGTGGGGAGTGACCGAAGACAATGCCATGATGGTCATGATGCAGGTAGATGGGTTTTCTACTTCATCTTGGAGACAACTTTCAAAAACCTGATGTGTTGCAGTTGCTGTCAGTTCGCCATTCTTATACAGCTGCCACCAGCGTTTTTTTTCTCCCTGCTGCCTACGGGGAGGTTCAGATGATGGCCATGATGGACCCAGTTTTGCAGCCGAAAGCTGCTAAGGCGCCTCATGTCTTCATGCTGGGGGTTTAGGGTTTAGGGTTTAGGGTTTGGGGTTTGGGGTTTAGGGTTTAGGGTTTATAGGGAGATCTGCATCACCCTGCTACACGGTGTGTCCTTACCTGGCCAAGCATTGCAGGTCATGAGCTTTGTCCAGGGACAGGTGGGTTCCTGAGCATGGGGATTCTCACGGAGTTGGGACGTACGTTTCACACATGTGCAATACCGCACGACCATAGACCCCAAACTCATTGGCGCAAAAGTCTCGCTGCAGAACGTCACGACACAGAGGGTTGGTCATGACTGGGACTTCGAGCATGCCCCTTGCCATCTTTGAGTGTAGTAGCGACCATGTTCCAATGCTTGTCAGGCTCAAGTTCAGCAGGCGTTGATACCCACACTGTCGACTTCCGTTCTCTACCAAACAACGGATGGCCTTCACCCCCATTGAGTCCGGCGTGGGCGGCCTGCTGATTGGCCTGTCGGCTGCGCTGGCATACTTGGGCGATGGGAAGATCACCGGGATCAGCGGTATCGTGGGGCCCTTCTTGCGCGGTGTGGGGAAGTGCGAGCCAATGAAGGACGGCCAGCTGTGGAAAGCTCTCTTTCTCGTGGGCCTGGTCATCGGTGGCCTCGTGAACCTTGCCTTCAATCGAGAGTTCTCGTACCCGCAGGCCTTGGACATTCCGGTGGCGAGGTACTGCATTGGGGGCATCTTCGTTGGCATCGGCACTCGAGCGGGTCGGGGTTGCACCTCCGGGCATGGCATCTGCGGTCTTCCTCGTTTGGCTCCTCGCAGCTGGATTGCAGTACCCACATTTATGGGCATCGCAGCACTGACGGTGGCCCTAACCAGACATGTAGCCAAGCTGGATGCCAGCGGTCCATGGGGAGTGGCGGAGCTCCAGTGGCCTCCAAAGTGGGAGTTCCCACTGGCAGCAGCCTTGTCCAGCCTGGTGCTTGCTGCGGTGGCCACGTGCTTGCCTTCCAAGGCCAGGAGCTTTGTCTCGCCGCTGGCTTGCGGGATCATCTTCGGCTTGGGCCTAGGCGTCTCCGGCATGACAAGTCAAGCAAAGGTCTTAAACTTCCTGGACTTTGCGGGGACTTGGGATCCGAGCCTGGCCTTTGTGATGGGCCTGGGGCTTTGCGTATCTTTCCCTGCCTTCCTGATGGCAGAGAGGGAGGGCAAGAAACCTCTTTGCGGGCAGGACTGCAGCTTTGAACGCCCGAAAAAATCCGGGGACTACGTCTCATTGGTGTTGGGCGCCACGTTCTTCGGCCTGGGATGGGGAATGGTCGGCATTTGCCCAGGACCTGCGCTGGCAGCCATGATTCCGTACCTTGTGGGAGGGTGGGGCCCCGGCCTGTCTTTCGGCCTTTGCACGCTACTGATCTTGTCATCGTGGTTGGTGACCGACCGCACGATCAGCTACGTAAACTCGCGACAGCTTCCAGAAGTACAGGTGGTGAAGGTGGTTCCTGCAGATGAGCAGGCCTAGGGCCTAGGGCCTAGTCATGTGCTTGCCGGCAGGCAGGTCAATGCTCTGTAAATTCGACATTTCTGAACCGATGTGGTCTGGTCTTTCAAGCATGTATTGACAAGCCAGGCTTTTCTGAACCGGCCGTTTTCACCTACTGTCAGCCGCTGAGCGGATGCCAACAGCAAGGACTAGAAGGTCACGGTCGATGAGCAGCCGAGCTAGCTCAGGTGATCTCACGTGTTGTTGTTGGGGCAGAGGCTGGTGATTCTCGCTCTTGCACTGATTACACTGTACAGGTGCAAGGCTTCGGTACTTCTTACGCACTCCCACTGCTCATGTAGCAGCTGTTGAGAGCTAGATTGAACAAGCATTGCTGGCGTGTGCATTGCGTGAGATTGCTGTGATTTGGGTCTCCTGATGTGGAGACAGCACGAGATAGCCATTCCCTTCCACAGTGTCCACGATGAACAGCACGGACTGCTCCCTCAAGGTCAATCAGAGCTAGTTGAGAAAATAATTTGACCTGACCCGTAGTCGCAAGCTCTGTGGCGTCTGCAGAGATCCCATGACCTTCACCCCCATTGAGTCCGGCGTGGGCGGCCTGCTGATTGGCCTGTCGGCTGCGCTGGCATACTTGGGCGATGGGAAGATCACCGGGATCAGCGGCATCGTGGGGCCCTTCCTGCGCGGTGTGGGGAAGTGCGAGCCAATGAAGGACGGCCAGCTGTGGAAAGCTCTCTTTCTCGTGGGCCTGGTCATCGGTGGCCTCGTGAACCTTGCCTTCAATCGAGAGTTCTCGTACCCGCAGGCCTTGGACATTCCGCTGGCGAGGTACTGCGTCGGGGGCATCTTCGTTGGCATCGGCACTCGAGCGGGTCGGGGTTGCACCTCCGGGCATGGCATCTGCGGTCTTCCTCGTTTGGCTCCTCGCAGCTGGATTGCAGTACCCACATTCATGGGCATCGCAGCACTGACGGTGGCCCTAACCAGACATGTAGCCAAGCTGGATGCCAGCGGTCCATGGGGAGTGGCACAACTCGAGTGGCCTCCAAAGTGGGAGTTCCCACTGGCAGCAGCCTTGTCCAGCCTGGTGCTTGCTGCGTTGGCCATGAACTTGCCTTCCAAGGCCAGGAGCTTTGTCTCGCCGTTGGCTTGCGGGAGCATCTTCGGCTTGGGCCTAGGCGTCTCAGGCATGACAAATCAAGCGAAGGTCTTAGACTTCCTGGACTTTGCGGGGACGTGGGATCCGAGCCTGGCCTTCGTGATGGGCATGGGGCTTTGCGTCTCCTTCCCTGCTTTCCTGGTTGCTGAGGATGAGGACAGGAAGCCTCTTTGTGGAGAGGGCTGCAACTTCGAACGGCCATCGAAAACCGGGGACTACGTCTCATTGGTGTTGGGCGCCACGTTCTTCGGCCTGGGATGGGGACTGGTCGGCATTTGCCCAGGACCTGCGCTGGCGGGCATGATCCCCTACATGGTCTCAGACGGTTCTCCAGGGCTCTTTTTTGGTCTGTCTGTGGTGCTGATCCTGATTGCTTGGCTTGCGACGGACAAGGTCATCACCCAGCTGAACTCGCAGCAGCCCGCGCAATCAGCAGAAGCAAGAAAGCTGTTACAGGATGAGAAGGCTTAGGGGCTTAACTTTGAAAGTTTTTTCCTTGTACACAGCCAAGTCGTATCACCGGTCTTCAAGCCTGACTTGAAAGGCCATGTATCTTATCGCTGCCAGGCTTCTCAAACTACTTGGAGGCCTACAGTGCTGCAGCGATTGCTGTCACCATCTGAATCATCTGAATACTGGGCCTTTTGGCTGAGTGTGCGAGCTCGGAGCTCGCGGACCGCAGCTGATGTGTCAACATGTGCGAAACAAGTGCCATGACCCTGCGTGCAAATGCGCGGCCTCTGGGAAGCGGATGCTACAGCCTGGCTGCAGTTAGCATTGCCAGATCAGTCAGATGACCTTTTGCTGTTCACTTTGGACCTGGGCTCAAGTCAGACGCTGACCAGGGTCTCGCAGGAGCACTGAGGAGCACTAGACCAAGTTGGAGGCACATGTTGTGCCCGAAAGAATCCAGGGGCCATGCGGGGGATGTGTAGCCCAACCTGAGGTACTATGAGGCGATCACTGCTCAGCCAGCTTCTAGTCGTTGCGGCACTGGCCGTGTGCCCTGGCCATGCACAGACTTGGTGTATGTATTTTGCACGCAACTTAAGCTGCTTGCGTTCAACTCCGGCTCCTTTCTTTCATCTAGCTGGTTACTGTAGAGTCTGGGTCCTGCCTCTTCGGGCAATCTTGCGCAACTCAGCACAGGCAACCAACTACCCTCAAAACCCAGATCTTTGTTCAAGAAGTGCATTTGCACAAGCACCGTTCGTACTAGCCATGTCGTGTTAGTCTGCATTTTCTTTTTGGCATTTGGCATGTCTTGGTGAGGCACGTGCACGCCAGAAACAAGGCACCGAGTACAAATATGTCAAGGGATGGCAGCTCCACACGCTGTCGATGCATGCTACAGATATTTGCAAGATTCTTCCCCCAGATCGGCAAACAAGTCGTACCTGGATCCTTCGACTGAAAGAGGCAAAGTCAAGAGCTTACATGCAGTCAAGACCATGTACAAAGCCCAACCAGGCATGCAAGTTCTTCGTTGCGTTCGGAGCTACCTAGATATTCCACACCCGAACCCTCAACGTCCATCTTGGGAAAGCCCTGCCTCGAAGTCTCTTTGTGGCCCAGATGGTGCGGCCTGAGCTTTGTCGGGCCGACGGCGGGCAGCGCCCCGCAGCGGTCTGCAACAGCGTTGAGTGCGGAGGCCGTGCGCGTGCGCAGCTTTTGCGTCTATGTTTGGGGTTTAGGGTTTAGGGCAAAAAATCGACTGGCCGGGCAGCACCGGAAAAAGGCCTCAAAATGATCGAGTGCGAAACCTTGTTGATCTTGTACAGGCAGTGTTGTCAGTTTGTGTAAGTGTAGGCCTCCGCGAAAATTTGTTGAACGGATCCCGAATTAAAACTCCGTACGGCGGGCGGAAGGACGTGTAGTTGCGGGTCAAGTTGTCAGAGCCTCAGGGTATCTACGATGTCCGGAAGGGAGTGTCTGTGAGAGCTGGAAAGTGCTTCCCACGAGCCAGAAACATGATCGAGCCGTTCATGTTCCATTGTGGGCAATTGCTTGTGGCCAGGCGAAGAAGGCACCCAAAAAGAAGGCGCCTCCGCTTCGCGTCGCAGGGCATGGAGCAAGAACCTGGGGTGTTGGGCCTGTTGGGCGGTTCACATGGATAAACAGACCCTAAACCCTAAACCCTGAACCCCAAACCCTAAACCCTAAACCCCAAGCCCCAAACCCCGAACCCCGAACCCCAAACCCTAAACCCTAAACCCTAAACCCTATGTTCAACCAGAGTGGGAGACCTACTTGGCGCTGGAAGGCCAAGGGCCCCTGGGTCGGCCCGAAGAAGGGCCGGCAGCTCGGGAGTGAAAGGGCTGAGGGAAGCTTGCGGCTGCGGAGCTTGAAACCCTAAACCCTAAACCCTAAACCCTAAACCCTAAACCCTAAACCCTAAACCCTAAACCCTAAACCCTAAACCCTAAACCCTAGTTTTTGGGGTGCTGGTGTAGGTGCAGCAGCTCAGTTGAGTCCAGGTTCTTGGGTCAAGATCCTTCGACCAGAGTCCTACTGGCTGCCCGGCCGCAAGTTGCGTGCATACAAGGGGTCTAACATGGAAGCCGTTCACTATTCTGTATATTGTCCCTAACAGTGTCCTGCATTGGCAAGGGAACGCCTCAGGGATGCTGTCTGGTGGGCTTTGGCACAGGTTTCAGACGCGAGGGCAAGTCGTGAACGTCAACCAGAAGCCTGAGGCATGCCCCTCTTGCGTGATCTTGCGGCCTTAACCCAAAGCCAAATTGAAGCCATTGAATAAACCCTAAACCCTAAACCCTAAACCCTCAACCCTAAACCCTCAACCCTAAACCCTAAACCCTAAACTTGCTTTGAAGGTCAAGTACCCAGTGACCGTCAAGTTCGACCGCGTCAACTACGCCAACGTGAACACCAACGGCTTTGCACTCTGGGAGGTGATCGAGGCCACAGCCTGCGCTCTGCAAGTTGCTTTTGAGCAGCCTTCCCGTCGCAGCGCCCCCCTTTGAAACCTTTTAAAGGCTTGATGACTAAATTCGGGGTTTTTAACGGTAAAAATCCCTTATTTTGTTACAAAGGAAAAAGCAAACTAGCCATGGAAGTTTTTTGCCAGGCCCCAGCTCCCGGACCTGGCGAAGTCTGATTGTACAGCTCTGGTGCGAGGCGGGCGCCGGTTTGTGTAGGGTTTCGGGTTTAGTTAGGGTGTTGGGTGTTGGGTTTAGGGTGTTGGGTTTAGGGTGTTGGGTTTAGGGTTTTGGGTGTTGGGTGTTGGGTTTTGGGTGTTGGGTTTTGGGTGTTGGGTGTTGGGTGTTGGGTGTTGGGAGTTGGGTGTTGGGTGTTGGGTGTTGGGCTTGGATTGGAATTGGATGGAATCAACAGGGTTTAGGGCCCAGGACTCAGGGCATCACCATCATTCGATCTTGCAGCCCAGGTTTTTGCTGGTCAGATGCCACGGCAGGACCAACAAGCAGACGAAGTGTCGCAGAAAGTATCTGAACCCTCGCTCATGGTTAGTGTACTCATGACTCACATATGCCTTTCCAGCTGTCTTCTGTAGCACGAGTATCTTTGTGTAAGAGAGTCATATCCTCCCTCCATTTATTCTGGTCAATCCAAGCATCCCTGCCTCCATAACCACCAAGTGATGAGGAAAATAATTGTATCCTGAATACCTTCAACATCCAAACGACATGTTTATTCAACGGCCAGCTTATGAAATACCTGACCCATAATTATTGGGCGAACATCGTGATCTAGCGCCAAGGGGGGGGGGGTCCCGATTTATCAATCTTTCCGACCCCTGCAAATCATGGCTATAATGTATTCGGAACTACCGCATCCACGAAAAATTGGAGGATTCCCTTCAAGAAATCAGCTCGCAGACCGTCAGGTCCTGGTCCAGATCCTATTTGACTTGATGAATACCCTATCCAAAAATTTCGGGAGCAGGCTGTTGCGCTTGCACTAGGGGAGGCGAAACAATATCGGGATTTGGAGAAAATTGATTAGACATATTTGTTTGATATCATCATCCGATGCCGCCAATCTAGGAGACACCAAATGTTTTGCAGCTGGCCTGGGATGCCCGAGGGATTCTAAGCTCGCTCCGAAGTGTTATCTTGCGATCAGGTGCGCATTTGTATCTAAGCATGATTGCTTCATCCAACAATCCACGCCGCTCCCTATCCTCCAGCGAGTAAGAAAGCTTCGCGTAGAAGCGACGGCTTGGCCTCTGCGCGCTGTTTAGCAGCAGTATCATTGCAATCTCCCTCCACGACGTCCCAAGCGTTCCGACGATTGGAACACGATCCCAGCCACAAGCAATTTAGCGTACTCGGTGCGTATCTATGGTCGTAATTCAATAAGAACATGATTTTTGATGAAAATAGGGGTAATGAATATATCGTGAAGGGAAGGCTCGGACTGCCATTGATTGGGTTGGGAAGTTGGGAGATGTTTACGTATTTTGTAACGAAGTTGGTCTTGGATCATATGTGTCCAGGCTTCAAAGCAGGGATTCACAATTCAGGGCAGACCATCTTCACGCAGCCTGAGTCGGCCCGCGCGGGAGTCGCAGAGCAGGCCGTGCCTGCCTCGAGCCAGGCCGCTTCTTCGTCGAGCCAGCAGGCGGCGGAATCGGCCGCGCAGCCACGGTCGGAAACAGCAGACAGCGCCAGTGAGAACGAAAGCGCCGGGGGGGCACTTGCCCGTGGAAGACCACCAAGAAGGCGCCGTGCGCTCGCACCGCTCGCTCGTTCAATCGTTGCCAAATCATTGCGCGTCGTACATGCACAAGACGTCAGGGTGCCAGCCAGCAAGAATGAGACTAAGCTGCTGTGCGGTAGGTCTCGGTCTGATGCCTATGCACAGCCAGCCATTCAAGCCCTAATTAAGGGTTGTCCCCACTTCAAGCAGTGTTGGGGACATAGCTCCATTTCCGACTGGACGGAGTGATGAGCTGAAAGTGTTCGTTGAGCCGACGCGTCAGTACTGTCATTACTTCTCCAAGAGCAGGTCCGACCCGAACATGTCCTCCTCATCGCCGACGGCCTTGTCGGGCTTCTCTGCCTCCTCGAACTCCGCCTTTGGGCTCCACGCCGCCAGGAACGTCCGGCTTCAAGTCACTACGGATCGATGCCAATGACCGCCCCTTCTAACGATCACAAGTGGCGTCCGCGTGCGGGAGCCGGTCCTGTCACTGCCC